CATTTCCTTGTGACAGTTTCAATTAATTCATAACAAGTGTTGAATATTATTACCGGCATGCATCTTGTTTGATGATATGTAGTGTATGGAGATATATTATTAGCTTAAACTTGTGTCATACTTACTCTAAGTAAAGGCACTTAACAGAAGAGTGAGATTACTGAAGGGAACGAAGCAATGCAAGCTGACGGGGGTTCAATATTAATTCCTTTCCTGAACCCCTGGTTTTTCTTTTTATGTCGAATTTAAGCTATGATTTTGTTCTAATATGAGAACACTTTCTTATATTTTGTGTGCGCTTGTTGACTGTATCACATTTTGTCTTTGTTGACACTAGTATATTTCGTTTTCGTTTGTTGGCGCTCTGGTACATATTGTCCTTTTTCTGTTGACACTACTTTATTCTGTCTNACCTTTTTCTGTTGACATAAGTATATTTTGTCTCTGTTAACGCTGTGGTATATTCTATATGTGTGAGTTGTCGCTGTGGTATATTCTATATTTGTGAGTTGACGCTGTGGTATATTCTATATTGATAAGTAGACGCTGTGGTATATTCTATATTTGTGAGTTGACGCTGTTGTATATTTTCTCCTCGTGTTTTGACCGTGTAATATAATTTGTCCTTCTTTATTAACGCAATGTTTTATTTCGTACTTGTGTGTTGACCCTGTTGTATATTTTATCTCTATGTGTTGACAGTGGTATATTTTGTCCTTTTGTGTTGATCCTGTTGTTTATCTTACATTTATGTGTTGACTGTGGTATATTTTGTCCTTTCGGGTTGATCCTGTTGTTTATCTTACATTTATGTGTTGACTGTGGTATATTTTGTCCTTTCGGGTTGATCCTGTTGTTTATCTTACATTTATGTGTTGACTGTGGTATATTTTGTCCTTTCGGGTTGATCCTGTTGTTTATCTTACATTTATGTGTTGACTGTGGTATATTTTGTCCTTTCGGGTTGATCCTGTTGTTTATCTTACATTTATGTGTTGACCGTGGTATATTTTGTCCTTTTGGGTTGATCCTGATGTTTATTTTATCTTTATGTGTTGACAGTGGTATATTATGTCCTTTTGGGTTGATCCTGTTGTATATCTTATCTTCATGTGTTGACTGTGGTATATTTTGTCCTTTTGTGTTGATCCTGTTGTATATCTTAACTTTATGTGTTGACTGTGGTATATTTTGTCCTTTTTGGTTGATCCTGTTGTTTATCTTACATTTATGTGTTGACCGTGGTATATTTTGTCCTTTTGGGTTGATCCTGTTGTTTATCGAATCTTTATGTGTTGACTGTGGTATATTTTGTCCTTTTTTGTTGACCCTGTTGTAAATTTTATCTGTAGGTGTTGACTGTGGTATATTTTGTCCTTTTGGGTTGATCCTGTTGTTTATCGAATCTTTATGTGTTGACTGTGGTATATTTTGTCCTTTCGGGTTGATCCTGTTGTTTATCTTACATTTATGTGTTGACTGTGGTATATTTTGTCCTTTTTTGTTGACCCTGTTGTAAATTTTATCTGTAGGTGTTGACTGTGGTATATTATGTCCTTTTGTGTTGACCCTGTTGTATATTTTATCTTTATGTGTTGACTGTGGTATATTTTATCTGTAGGTGTTGACTGTGGTATATTTTGTCCTTTTGGGTTGATCCTGTTGTTTATCTTACCTTTATGTGTTGACTGTGGTATATTTTGTCCTTTTGGGTTGATCCTGATGTTTATTTTATCTTTATGTGTTGACAGTGGTATATTATGTCCTTTTGGGTTGATCCTGTTGTATATCTTATCTTCATGTGTTGACTGTGGTATATTTTGTCCTTTTTTGTTGACCCTGTTGTAAATTTTATCTGTAGGTGTTGACTGTGGTATATTTTGTCCTTTTGGGTTGATCCTGTTGTTTATTTTATCTTTATGTGTTGACAGTGGTATATTATGTCCTTTTGGGTTGATCCTGGTGTATATCTTATCTTTATGTGTTGACTGTGGTATATTTTATCTGCAGGTGTTGACTGTGGTATATTTTGTCCTTTTGGGTTGATCCTGTTGTATATTTTATCTTTATGTGTTGACTGTGGTATATTTTATCTGTAGGTGTTGACTGTGGTATATTATGTCCTTTTGTGTTGACCCTGTTGTATATTTTATCTTTATGTGTTGACTGTGGTATATTTTATCTGTAGGTGTTGACTGTGGTATATTTTGTCCTTTTGGGTTGATCCTGTTGTATATTTTATCTTTATGTGTTGACTGTGGTATATTTTGTCCTTTTGTGTTGATGTATTGACGCTTTTGTATATTTTGTATATTCTGTAGATGTTTACGCTGTTTTTAGAACTAATAGATGTTTTTCTGTGTGATCTTTTTCTGCTCATATATATTCTCGAAGTACTTATATCTTTTTTTTCTGTATTCCAGACCATTACGTCAGATCATGCGACTTTGATGGCGGGAACGACACATGTGTACGGTGCGCACAGGGAACATTTCTCGCTGATAACACCTCATCACAACAATACAACCATGAATGTGTGTCCTATCCAGAGTGTTTTCCAGGTATATCTGTAATTGATTTTAGTTTGATATTAGTCCAAACAAACGAGAATAGTAGTAAACAAGGGAAAGAACGAAACCTTGTCCAAATCCTGAACATACGTTGAAGCACTTGCATGTTTATTCCTCATTTAACAAACCAGTTTATAAACTGGAAATGACAACATTTCCATCTGACATGTATCAAATTTCTTATTACAATCCAATTGAGAATATACTGTATACAGCTTAGCATTCGCGTAGTGTAAATTTCGCGTTTCATCAGGAAAATTTATATTCGCTCAGTGCAGAATTTCTTGTGCTATCACGTGACTATCATGTGACGCGTCTACACCGACAGGTATATGGGCTCGTCAATAGAATGTATTCATATGTGACGAATAACAATAAATGTGACCTTAATAGACTTGTCACACTGCGGACATATGTTTGATTGGTCGAAACTGACTCGAAAAAAGTGCCCTGAGCGTACGTTTTTACCCGATTACAAAGTAAACGTGTTTATGTAGGCCTACCGATTAGTTTCCTTTGTGTGGTTGGCCGAGCAACAAATATGCTCCGAAATTTTAAACCAGTCAAAGAAATAATCTGAGGCAGATGCTGCCTTTGCAAGAGCAGACAGGGAGGTTTTTATTTTGTGTATCTGTATCATTATTTTAACAGTCCGCCGTCATTATCCTGTTTCAGGAATGCAACTTTAATACTCTGTTATGTTTAAATTCATGGTGATATTTGTCAGTAAAGAGAACTGTCTGTTATACTCTATATTACTGATGGAGCTGGAAATTATCGCTACATTATTGAATTCGCGGTTGAATCCATCCACGGAAAGCACGAAAATAACCCTGCCGCGAATTAACCAGTCAACAGTATAGGCCTCCTTTTGTTACAGTACTGTCTTAGGTGGGAAACCCTACTTAACTTGACATTCTGTTACCTATGGAAAAAGGATGATTGTGTACGTGTTTTGTTCAACCCCTATTTAAACAATAAAGTATGTAATCATAAAATATGCACAATTTATAAGACATCAATGCTAAACCTTAGTCAAACAAAATAATATTTAATTGAAATGTTTGGTGAATTATCTTTATAGCTGAAAAAAGGTTCTCAACAGTGTTTTGAGAATACTTTTCCTTAGTTTTAAACTCACCTGGCACGAAGTGCCAAGTGAGCGTATGCCGTGGTGCCGCGTCCGTCGTCGGTCCGTCCGTCCGTCCGTCCGGCGTCCGGCGTCAATATTTTATTTTAAACGACTTCTTCTTAATAACCGAAAGGCCTATGGTGATGATATTTGGCCAGAAGCAAACTGGGATGAAGGGCTACATAGATTGTTAAAATTAATGACCTTCACCCATTTTCAAGGTCACTGGGGTCAAATATGTTAAAAACTTTAAACATCTTCTTCTCGATAACCAAACTGCCCAGGGAGATGATATTTGGTCAGTAGCATGCTTGGGTGAAGGGCTACCAAGTTTGTTCAAATGAATGACCTTCACCCATATTCAAGGTCACAGGGGTAAAAAATGTTAAAAACGTTAAACAACTTCTTCTCAATAACAAAAACGCCCAGGGTGATGATATTTGGCCAGTAGCATGCTGGGGTAAAGGGCTATCAAGTTTGTATAAAAATGAATGACCTTCACCTATATTCAAGGTCACAGGGGTCAAATATGTGAAAAACATTAAACAACTTCTTCTCAATAACCAAAATGCCCAGGGTGATGATATTTGGTCAGTAGCATGCTGGGGTAAAGGGCTATCAAGTTTGCATAAAAATGAATGACCTTCACCTATATTCAAGGTCACAGGGGTCAAATATGTGAAAAACATTAAACAACTTCTTCTGAATAACCAAAATGC